CGCACACGCAATTTGACTCACAGGTCCTGAGTGACGACCAAACGTGGTGACGAAGACTACATCAAACGGCCTGAGGATGCGTTCATCCTTTTCCAACACGAATCCTACTCACAGAATAATGAGGCAGAGGCAGCTGGTGGTGTAGGGGTTGGGACTGTAGAAATAGCGTATTATTTCCTATTTTTGTATTCTATAATTTAAATATAATTATATTTGATTAATTATTTGATATAAAATTGTATACTAAGCAAAAGCAAGCTATTCAAACACTTGTAATGACTTGTAGACATTATAAGCAGATATTATACTTTCACAAATTAATAAGTATGTCTTAGCCTTGTAATTTAGAAAGTATATTATAATCACTTGTATAACTTGACAATTTATAAAATTATATTGGAAATTGCCAAGTTTTAAAAGTATTTTTTCTTGCTTATTTAACATTGTACTTTCCTTGCTTAACCCCCCAGGAAGATTATAAGTAATTGGACAAATTTTATAAAATATATAAAATATACAAGATTACAAGCAAGTATAATACTTAAGACTTTTTCGTGATGTACTAGTCGTATTCATAACGTTTAGAAGCGATAGGATCCTCAGTGATCATGTAGATAAGCTTAGTAGAGCTACGTTTATGAGGAAGCACGTTGTATGCAAGCAGTGAGTACACGTAGGAGAGACAACGCTCAAGCTACAAAATATAGCATGATTTATTGTGAGAATAAATGCACGTGCATTTGTAATATCGTATGATAGTATCCTTCAATGAATCAATGCCCATACTCAAAAGTTTCGAGGTTCGGAGTTTATTCCTAGTTTAGACACGTTCATTATAGTATAAGAACCAAGGGATATCATTTACTGTGGTTTTAGCCCAGGCTGCTAAACATTATCTGGCCATTTCAATATTTATTTTTAATAAGAACTGTAAATGCTTATTTACTTAGTATCAAGTCAGAGCCTCACATCTTCTACATTATGTGTTCCTTGTGTACTGTCAAGATTCAGGGTGTATTGTTGTACACTGTAAGGAATTGTTGCCCAAAATAGTATTCTGTTCAATAATCCCTTACACTATCCATAAAGACACAATCCTGTAAACAAGGCTAATCTGCTCCAATAAGGAGCTGTGAGATGGATCCTTTCTTTATTGTATTGTATAACACAACATTAATCAATGGATGTATATTGCAAAGCACTTGACCCTGTCTGTCCTAAGTTCTATATTAAGAAAAATACCATTCTAAAATAAACATATACTGTGTAAACAAACTATGGTATAAGTCGAAGCTGTGCATTAGGCTAATGCTTGTCTAGGCTGGACTGTCACGTTATATTGATAGAATAAGTCGCCTCCCAGAAGCAGCTCTATCATAGTTATAAATATTAAACCACTATCAAAATGCAATCCTTAGTACTGAATTGTAATCAATTTGAGTACTATCAGTAGTTACTTACTCTATCTTGAAGTAGGTTCTTTGCCTTGCTCCGGTATTTGAAATCTGGATAAAGCATTTTTCTACACAGACTTTTAGCTAAATGTAAAATTTATCAGTATATTATAGTTAATTATTGTAAATCAAATCTTTCTCACCACTTTCTCCATCACTACCTTCCCAAACTGGCCTATTCCAAATTAGTGCATTATTGAATAGCATTAATGCATAATCTAAAGGAGTATACCTAAGGGTTTTGAGATTAGTATCTGCTGCATTCTCCAAAGTAAAACTCTGACTTGTTACCAGTACTTGGCCAAGGGAAGTTTCCTGGGTCATTATACATCTCATAAGTAATGACACTTAAGCATCAGTTAAGTTATCACATCTTCCATGAGATATAAACGAAAGTGACTTTACCCAAATGCCCATATATCTTGAGCAAAACATCTTATACCGTGGAAAACTTCAGGTGCCCTGAAACTTAGTGCGCCATCGACTTCATCGACTTTCTCATAATCTCCGTGCTCTATACCTCTTACACTGAAATAGATTAGTTAGTGTTTGACTAAAACAAGAGAGTTGTATGGTATAGTAACATACAACATGAGGTCTGTAATTTTAACTTCACGCCACCTAACAGGCTGATCAGGTGTGCTCATGATAAGGATATTGTTTGGTCTAAAATAATGGATAAGAAACGAATTCCTAGTCCTATCAAAGGCAACACATACGTGATATTGCGATGTACATGCCTTGTTTCGTCGTGAAGATAACTCAATCCATTCAGGACGCCACTTGCAATGCAAAGAGTGAGTTTGCGTTTAAGAGGCTAAATGTATCTGCCTACTAAATGATAGCCTTCTTGTCTGATGAGCTGAGCAAATTCCGATGTGACCTTTCGCTGAGTAACCTTTTGCTGAGATTTCCTCCCGTCGCATATTCGGTTACAACTAATAAATGTTCGCTGCCAGCTAGAGTAGTTTCGATAAAACACGTGTAGAAACGAATCTGCCGTGGTTTCCGAGTTGTAGAAAGTTGGAAGCTGCTTTAGTTGTCCTAGTACTTCCTGAAATTACAGTGTATGGGCTCACTATGTTTTGACATTCATTGGCACTACGCAATCCTCGTTTTCCAGTTTCCAATCTGTCTTTGATTTGTTTATTCACTGGTTCATACATTGCTTTTATTGCACGGAGAGGGCTTTCACCCCTCTTGAGTTTAGTCGTGTCCAGGACTTCAGCCAGCTTTAATTTCAAATTCAGTCAAGTAAATGACCATTTAAACAGAGGTTCTACATTGAGATGAATTATTGCACAGAGGTGTACTCACTAATACTGCTCCATTATCTCCCGATCCTAGTCCTCTGATTGGTCTATAGGTTCTTGACAGTATCCCACCTCTGTTGTCTGCAGATTTGCTCGTTGTATCAGTACCTGATGCCCTTCGTTCCCCCTCAACACCATCCTTGACAAATGAGTCAAATACTTCAGGATTGTGTCCTGCAGAAGAGGCTGCCCATCGGAACAAAAACGAGACAAACGGGGTTTTTCTTGTACGTTGCGACCGAGACGACCCAGTGTTGGATTCGCTTCCAGAGCTGGCACGTCTCTCTTCTCTTTGTCTATAGTTGCCTCTCGTGGGATGATATCTGGATTGATACAATGAAGGATGCCTGGAACCTGGAGCTGATTTCATCCGTCTTTTTCCTTGGCTAGGGTAAAGCCTTACTGTGTTCGAAGGCAATCCCAGGGAAGCGCTCAGATGACAGCTTATTCTGGGGAGATTGCAAAATAACCACTGGTGGCACATGGTCTGTTATATCACTCCAGGTTGTAACAGGCGTGGCGCGACCGTGCCGCCTCTGATATTGGCCATGCTACTGTTTGCAAACAAGTGCAACATCATTAGTGACATGCTGGGTGACTGCAATGTTGTTTCTAGGGACTGTAGTGGAAACCATCACCAAAAACCGCAATCCACAACCACGGATAGGTTATCCACAGTTGAAATTCTCACGGTAACCACAGTAACCGCGGTTACACTGTAGTGTACCCGAGGTAACTCAGGTGGTACCCACATGTGGTTATCCACATGTGGTTAACTACGTGGATAACCACATAACCAACAGCCTTGTGCGAAAAGGCCGTGTGGGTAATGTTGGTAACTGTATATTAGATAATACATGAATATAGTAATTTGTCCCTGTAAACGACCCTTGCAATGGAGAAAAAAAATTCACTGAGTAGTTTTGGTTTGAATACTGTATACAAGCATGTCTGTCAAAATTCTGAGCTTTGCTGAACTTGAAGAAAAGCTTTGGAATCTAAAAAATGCTCTTAGTATAAATGTACCTTAGACAAGCATTTGGCTCTTACTTGACCAACAAACATAGATTTTTTGACTTATATATTCTGTTATTTTGTTTTATTCATGCTTTGACCTGTAAATAGTGCACATATGCACTATATTACCCTTAAAGTACATTGCTGAACTAATACATGATTGCTGCATACTAAAAACAGATACCCACATTACCCACATGTGGTTAACCAAGACCAACAGGCCTTGGAAAATCAGCATGTGGGTATCTATGTTTCCCACATGCCCAAATGGGATTCCTTGGGTACACTATTACACTGCCAACGTTTGACTCCATACACTACTTTTTTTGTTTTTCATTTTTTCCTCTTTGTTTTTCAACACAAAACACTATTTTTTTTACAAGAAGCAAATATTTGCATTGAATACAAACTATGGACAGAGTATATACAGAAAATGTACATGAAATATTAAGAGTACAGCTCTGTTACTCTAGCTTCAGAGTATGAACTTTGAAGGCATACACTCAATACAGTATGTTATAACTGAAGGCATTCTACTGATCAATGTCTCATATGACTCTAACACCCTTGCCAGAGCCATAATATCTTCAACCATTACTCTTGTAGAGAGTGCATTTTGTCAATGGTTCTGTAAAAACAAACAAGCAGACAGCTGTCACATGACTCACATCTTGTCAGGCAAGGACATGTTGTATTAGGTGTGGTCAAACCTTATGATTCAGTGTGTGATTCACCTGTGCAATTCACTTTCATACAAAGTGAATTGTGGACCCTGGAACCCTAGCAATTCAGAGTGAATTGTACTAAAAGGTGAATTGTACTTTAATACAATTCACCTTACAATTCACTCCTACAATTCACCTCTACTCATATCTATTTCCAAATATGTACATGTATTACAAAAATAAAACTAAGCTTCTTTTCACCTCTAAATTCCAAAAAGAGTAAAATGATTTGCCTCTTCCTTGTGAGTACTATAGTATACATACTGTCCTCTGTTCTGTAAAAAATCCTTGTGTTCTCTACTACTAAGCTCTGTTGTCTTCTTGCACATCACTACACACATATTAAGTCCTTCTTGACATGGCCAAATGTATATGCACAAAAAAAAACTATTTCTTTAATTTTATATTATATAATTTTAAGATTAAGGGTTGGTATATTAAGGTGAATCACACATGTACAAGTGTACTAGTCAAACCTGTATATACAATTCACCTTACAATTCACCCTCTAGAATCACAAGGTGAATTGTACAGAGAATTGCAAGGTTTGACCATACCTATTATTGTAAGATGGGAAAAATATTGAATTTAAGGAGTGTAGAGTATAGTTCTGAGAGTAGAATGCTTTTTGTCTTTTTTTAGTTAATAAATACTAATACTTGGAAGTTATGAATGTCTATAGTAAATGTATTTGATTTCTATATACATCTGATAGATGTGTAAAAACCACAGATACTGTGAGAAAGTTATCTGTGGATGTGGTATCTGTAGGAATTTGTCAACTGTAGTACAATACTACAGACTACAGTCCCTAGTTGTTTCTCACCTTAGTAATATACTTTACATTCACATGATCTATGAATTGAGGGATAAGCACATTGGGCATTTCACAATTTCTTACTGTGAAAAATAACTTACATAATGTTAAACATTATTTGTAATTAAATTTGCCATTTTTGATTGATAGAAATCATAAACAAAATTTCAAGTTTCTTTCATAATTAATACAAATACAGAAAAAACTTAAAATATTATTTTGAATTTCTACTAAACTGAAATGGTAAATTAAATTACAAATAATGTTTAACATTATGTAAGTTATTTTTTAAGGCAAGAAATTGTGAAATGCCTAATGTAAAGCCTGGTAATCTTGTTCATATGATTCTACCTAATACAAAGTTACATAGTTACTAAAGAATGACCTGTCCCCTTTAAAGGTCTTGTTTTGTAAACAGAGTCAGTAGAACTTGTTTGCACATTATTTACTATACTGTAATAATGCTTGAGTATATAGTTGTAGTAATGTGTTTGTCTTCCTTTCACATTGTGTCCAACACTATAGACCTGTTATTATAATTATATTTGGTTGTATTCTTTAAATATTCAAACCATTATATAGTATCTAATACATTTGTCATATATATGTCTTGTAGTACTAATACATGTCTTATAATATTATTATTTTGTTTGTATTATTACTATTTTGTCTGTAATTCAGTAGAACCTCTTGTTAAGTATTAAGCTCTGTAAACACATAGAGTAATGTTTAACAAGAGGTAATGCTTGTTCAGAATATTTATGTAATAATAATAAAAATTTCTTTATTTGTTGTACATACATTCACAATAAAGTCTAAGTAAAATACAAGCAAATATTAGTCTATACAAGTAAACTATTAATTTTTTTACACAAGTCCCTAGTAAGCTTAGAGAAAAGGGCTCTAACTTTAGTAAATTCCAGCCCTATTTCCCCTTAAAAGAGTGTATTTAGTTTTAAGAGGGCCTGAACAGCCTCTAGGTAGTTAATAAGTAGTACTAGCTCTGGTTCTAGTGTCTTGAGCTCTAGAATATGTTTACTATTTGCTTCCTTCCTATTATATTCTGTCTACTTTAATATTTCTTTGTTAGTCTATTCAGCTTCCATAATCTTCTTGTCTACTATGTTAAGTAGTTCTTCTACTATAGGAATGTTTATTAGTAAAACAGTATAACTATTCAATCTGAGGTTCTCTAAGGTAGCTGAAAGGCTAGAGATAGTTTACTAGACTCTAGAGTCTTACTATCTGAGTGTAGGATTAATAAGAATATTATCCTATATAATTATAATATTAGAACTAGAATGTATAAGATTGATGAAATACTTGCCTCCTCAGCTGTATTCTTTTCCTTAAGAATCCTAGCATACTTCTAACAGTTAGCTACTGTCTCTAGAGTAATCTTTTTCCAGGATTTGACTACTAGATTCATACTTACAAGTTAATTAATAAAGTAGATGTTCTCTTCTCCCTCCTTATACTAACTGAGTACTCTAAGAATGTATAGCCTTTAGTAATGAGTCTTGAATGTACAAATAATACTAGTATCTATTAGCTGAATGTGTAAAGTTATGTTTGGGTCCAAAAAGACAATTTTAACATTTCTAAGCTTACCTTAGTCAAAGATATGTAAGAGTATATTATTAATTAAGAGACAGACCTTGTACTTTTACTATTCTATGTTACAGTTTAAATCATTAAGGAATTTATAGAGTAGATTAGTATGTAGAATGTGTATGTATAGAGTTTCCTATATTTACTTATAGTTAGAAGATTGGGTTTGGATGTACCTGTGTACTAGCTCTAGGTTTAAGTTCCCCTTAGTAGACTAGAGCTTTACTAGAATAGTAAAGATTTGTAACTAAGTTAGAGTTTTATTAAAGTGTAAGATATACTCACTTTACTAGTCCTAATCCTTAGGAATAGTAACAGAATAGAGTATAGAGGGTAAGACTTATAGACTTGTAGAGTGAGAGGGTAGAGGAGTCCTACTTTAGTCAAGCTACAAGTATAGCCTAGTAGGTTAGTAGTAGAGTACTTCCAAGTACTAAGTAACTTAAGTTAATAAAACTATCTTTTGAGGGCCAAACTGGCCTTCTTATATACCTTTTGCTAGAGTAATGTTACTCTAGTAACTTTAGTAACTCCCTTTACTGTTGTTCCTATGAAGTAGAGCTGGCTAATCCTTTAGACTATATACTACACTAGTTTGTGTCTTCTATTAATCTGCTGACACTAGTTTGTGTCTTCTTGTATTCTAGATTAATCTTCTAATGACTCCTTTACTATATTGTTATGTCTTCTATACTTCCTCTCATACTTTTAATGACTCCTTATAAGTCCTCCTAACTAGTTATACTGTATAAGCTGTATAATACTTTTCTCATAAAGTAGAGCTCTCTATTGTTCTTATAACTCTGTCTGACTCAACCTGTACTTCTTGTACACTAGTTTGTAATACACTTTCTTATAAGGTAGAGTATTATGACTTCTAATGACTCCTTATGACTCTTGTAATATAAAAGGCTGTACTTCTGTACTGTCTCTAGAACTTACAACCAAAGTTCTAGACTACCTTGTGTACACTCTAGAACTAACAATTAATGTTCTAGATCTTTCCCTAAGTCTTCTTTAATAGACTTAGTTTAGGAGACAATTATCCTTATTAACTTTTAGCCTTATCTTTGTACTTCTGTATTCAATCATAGAACTTACAACTAAAGTTCTAGATTGTCTCATGTATTCCTCATTTTGTTCTCATATAGTTCTTATGTTTATAACTTTATTACTTTCCTATCTGTATAGACAAAGTGTATAAAGGAGACTACTTTCCTATAGTCTCTCCTCAGAGCTCTCAGTTCCCTTTCCTTTACTAGTACTAGTCCTTCTCAAGTATAAAGCTTTAGAGTATTGACTCTGACTCTTTACTAGCTTTAATAGTCCTTTGTCTTTGTACAAAGAGTTCCTAGCTAACTATATAGTTTCTCCTTAAGTAAGTATAATATTTTTCTTTTATCTCTTCAGGTTTTCTCCTAGTCTTTTCCTTTATACTTCTTACTCTAGACACTATACTCTTTCCAGATCCCCTCTCTATACAAGCATTCTAAATGACTTGTCTTTAGTTGAGGTTATTAAGTAATACTGTGCTAGAGTATGTGTTTAATCTTAGAGAGATAAAGACCTTGTCTTTAGGCTTTGTTACCTTTTCCTAACTGACTTAGTACATACTCCTTCCTGTCGCCTCTCTCTACTAATAGATTGATTACCTATTAGTAATGATTAAAGGTTAATAATGCTAAGCTAGAGTTCTTACTAAGTAGGACAACAAAGGTAGCCTAGTTGATCTAGCCAATCTCTAGACTTGTAACTAATAGGGTTTTGTATATAAACTACTTAGTTCCAAGTCTTGAGTTAAGCTTTTCCAAACTTAGTTACTGTATTTTACAATTTCTAACACTATTATTTATTAAGTATGTAAGAAAGCTATAGTACTTTAACAAGAAGGAGGGCTTAGTATTTAGGTTCTAATATTTTTATAATAAGAAGGCCTGGATAAAACTCTAATACTTACTTTATAATATTAACTAACCTTAATAATTAACATTCAAAGTAGGTAGATAAATTACTCTACTACTTAGAACAGTTGTTAAGGCAAGTAACTTTCTTTTGTAGTAAGAAAAGAAAGATTAATTAAGAAGTGCTACTAGTTCTTGATTACTTAGTAACTTATACACAGGAACAAGTGTTAATACTAGGAGGTATTAAAGGAATACCATTTTGGATACAGGGGGAAATTCCCTTAGACTCTTTCAAACAAGGAAGAGTAGTATCAACTGTTGTTTATACTGTAGACACTCCTATCAATTAACAAATCTGGATTGAACAAATCCAAGAATACTCAGACCATCTATACACATTATAACAATATTATAATCTGTTACATAGTGTATTACTTGTACTAGAACAAGGATATCCAGATATTGTAAAAGTAAGTAACTTTTGTAATATTATACTAAACAAAGTTAACAAGCTATAAAAAGTGGCTTTGTATCAGATCAAGGAAAGGATTAGAACATTATACATACAACAACTAGTACTAGGCACAGGCAGAAGCCTATTATCACACAGTCCTTTATTATCAAATCCCTC